GGTCTGTCCGTGTGCCCATCCCTGGGTCCGTCCCTGGATCCGTCCCTGGGTCCCCTCCCCGTACCCTGCCCATCCTCTCTGAGTGTCCGTACGTCCTCCCCGTGCCCTCTGGCCATCCGTGCACCCACTCCATCCACCCCACACATCCCAAGTGTCCTTGTGTCCCCTCCCTGCACCCCAAGTGTCCCCATATCCCCCCCCACACCCTGCTCACCCCACTCCATCCACCCTGGGTGGCCACCCTGTCCCCCCCATTGACCCTGGGTACCCCGATGTCCCCGCTATGCCCCCTAACCCCACCCACCCCATTGTCCCTGGGTCCCCCTGTCCGTCTGTCCGTCCGTTCCCACGTGCCCAGCCGCCCGTGTCCCCCCTGCAGCAAACCCCTGTACACGGTGCTGGTGGTGCTGCTCCTCGCCTCCGTCACCTTCCCCCCCGGGCTGGGGCAGTTCATGGCCTCCAGGGTGAGTGGGGACACGTGGGGGCTCCCTGGGGACCCCAAAACCTCCCAGCGGGGGCTCAGGGTGTCCGTTTGTCCGTCCGTGCAGCTCACCATGAAGGAACATCTCACCTCCCTCTTCGACAACCGCACGTGGGGCTCGCTGGCCCCCAACGCCTCGGCAGTGGCCAAGCCCTGGGGGCTCTGGCAGGAGTGGGCCCATCCCTCTGCCACCATCTATGGCACCTTGACCTTCTTCCTGCTCATGAAGGTGACCATGTCCCCCCCCCAGTGTCAGGGTGGGCCCCCCAAGGTGGTGGCCCCATGGGGTGACCCCCCCGTGTCCGCTGCCCCCCCCCAGTTCTGGATGCTGACCCTGGCCACCACCCTGCCCCTGCCAGCCGGGTACTTCATGCCCATCTTCATCTACGGTGAGGAGGGGGCTGGGGGGACATGGGAGGGACAGCCAGGGGAGGGGAGGGGGGACATGGGGAGGGACAGCCAGGGGAGGGGTGCAGGGGGTTCCTTCAGCCCTCGGAGTGGGGGTATCCAGGCCTGGAGGGGGGCACATCCAGCCTGGGGGTACACCCAGCTCCGGGAGGCCCGCAGGAGGGGGGTTACCTCTACCACCATTTCCTGGGGGGCCCCTGGGGTCTCCCCACCTTCCCTCCTCCCCCAATTTTAGGAGCAGCCATTGGGCGCCTGATGGGGGAGGTGGTGGCCCTGCTCTTCCCACGGGGGCTCCATTCAGAGGGACCCCCACGGCCCATTATTCCTGCTGGCTACGCCCTGGCTGGTGAGTCTGGGGGCTGGGGGACACCCCCACGGGCAGGGGGACACCCACCCTGTCCCCTGACCCCCCTGTGCCCCTGCCAGGCGCAGCCGCGTTCTCGGGCTCGGTGACGCACTCGGTGTCCACGGCCCTGCTGGTGTGTGAGGCCACCGGGCACCTGGGCCACGTCCTGCCCACCGTGCTGGCCGTGATGGTGGCCAACGCCATCACCCAGAAGAACCAACCGTCCTTCTACGACGCCACCATCATTGTCAAGAAGCTGCCCTACCTGCCCCCCATCCGCAGCCGGCACATCGCGTGAGCCCCCGCCCCAAAACCCACGTCTGGCGGGCATTCCCCAGGAAACGATGGAAATCTGGGGGTTTTGTGCTCACCAGCTCCTACCGAGTGGTGGTGGAGGAGTTCATGGAGCGCCGGGTGGTGGCCTTGGCCAAGGGGGACGGCTTCCAGGAGGTGCTGGTGGCCTTGGACGCCTCTGCCGATGCAGAGTACCCTGTGGTGGAGAGCACAGGTGGGATGTGGGGTCTGGGGGGGGGTCACTGTCACCACTCCCTGGCCCTGTGGTGGCCCTTGTGTGTCTCCTCATGCTGTCCCCATGGTGTCCCCCCAGTGCCCACTGGATATTCCCATGCTCTGTCCACACCACGCCCACGCTGTCCCTACGGGGAGCTCCTGCAGTGTCCCCACCCCGCTCTCACGGGGTCCTGTGACACTCCCAGCCTGTCCTGCGTCCTCATGTTGAGCCCTCGGTATTGCCACGGTGCCACCTCAGTGTTCCTGTGCCATCCCCACGGTGTCCCTGCACTGCACCAGAGCTGTCCCCATCCCCTTTGGTGTCCCCATGTTGTCCCCTCGATATTCCCACTCTGTCCCTATACTGTCCTCACACCCTCACCCTGCTGTCCCCATGGGGTGTCCCCTTGGTGTCCCCAGCACCTCCCCCTGGTGTCCCCACACTGTCCCCTCTTTCCAGGGTCCCCCACTCTGGTGGGCACCATCAGCAGGTCCCAGCTGGTCACCTTCCTCCAGAGCCACAAGCACCCCCAGGCGCCCCAAGGGGAGAAGGTAAATGGGGTGGGGGGTACCCTACCACACCCAAAAAGCTGCTTTTCCACCCCAAAACGAACACATCCTTCCTCAAGCTGGCCGCCGTGGGGACGCTCGGGGATGACTGCACCATTGAGCCCATCATGCTCCAGTTCTCCCCGTGGACCTCCTTGCATCAGGTTTGGGGGAGGAAAACGTGTCCTGGGAGCCCCCCGGGCCCGTGTCACACTGAGGGGACACGGCGGGGGTGGCTCTGTCCCCACGTGTCCCTGTGTCCCTTTCCCAGGCCTATCACCTCTTCCAGCTGCTGAAGCTGCAGCGAGTCTTTGTCACCCGCTCTGGGGAGCTGGTGGGGGCCGTGAGCAGGGCGGAGGTGAGAGGGAAGAGAATGGGGCTGAAAAAGGGAACTGGAAAGGGGGGAAAAGGAGAAGGGAAAACTGGGGGGGAGTCCCCCTTCCACCTCCCCTGTCCCCCTTCCACCTCCCCTGTCCCCCTTCCACCTCCCCTGTCCCCTTCCACCTCCCCTGTCCTCTCTATTCCAGCTGCGGAGAGCGATCGAGGACCTCGCTGACCCCAAGTGATGTTTGGGACCCCAGGGAGCCCCACCCCAGGGGCACCCCCATGGAAACGGGGGTGTCCTGACCCCCCCCAGATGGTGAGGGGGGTGTGGGCTGGGGGCGCCGCTTCTGCAGCAGAGCCTGCTGTGCATTAAATGCCTGTTTGCATTAAATGCATCAACGCTTCCTCCTCCTCCTCCAGCCCCGCCGGTTTCTGCTGGGGGGGAGTCGCCCCCATCCCAAACCCAACAACAACGCTTAAAACCGCCCAAATCACCCCAAAAGTGCCCAGGACACGCGCTGAAGTGCCCCAGTCTCTGCACCACCCCGCTCTGCCCCACTCCTAAAATTACCAGCACATAATTGTCCTTATTTTAATTACTGTGATTAATAATGGGGTGGGTGTTTAGGGACCCCGGAATCCGGGGGGAGTAGGGAGGCAGAGCCCCCCCCACACTTCGGTGACCCCCGGACTGGGGCGCAGCGGGTTTGGGCGCTAACAAAGCCCTAATTAAGCCCGGGGGGTTAATTAGGCGCGGCAGGGCAGGTTGGGCAGGGCGTGCATGCCCGGGCCAGGCACAGGACGGGTGAAGCGGGGTCAGCGCCAGGGAGACACCCCAAAAGTGGGGCAGGAGCTGGGCTGGGCTCCAGGGAGAAGCGAGGGGAGCGGCCCCCGGCCCCCCGAAAGCCCCGCTGTCCCCGTGCCTCAGTTTCCCCGCGGGGGCGATAAGGGGGGGCAGGAGCCCCAGCCCGGGGTGCCCCCCCAGTCTGGATTTTGAGCCGCCACCGGAGCCGAGACCAGAAAACTCGTGACACCCCCAAAATGAAATACCCCCAAAACGGAGCGAAACCCCCCCAAAACCGCGGCTCTCGCAGCGCGATGTCGGTGCCGCCCGTCCCTGATTATGGTTTGGGGCAGAAAAAAATGTCAAAATCCCCTTTTTCCGCAGTTTTCCTACCCAGTCATTTGCAGGCTCCGGGCAGCCGGCGAGGCCGGGCTTTGGCTTCGGGGAGCGGCCGGGGATGGAAAGGCCAAATTCCTGCTGGGTTTTGCTGGGGAAAGAGGCCCCGCATGGGAAACACTCCCAGAGCCGTGTGAAAACCCTTCAGATCCCTGATAACCCCCTAAAAAGGTGTCAACCCCTTAAGAAAGCGTCTTTAACTTGTTTAAACCACCTTAAAAAACCCTTTTTAACCCATTTAAAGCCCCATTAAAACCCCTAAACCCTCCCACTTTTAAAACTCCTTAACCACCCTAAAAATCCCTAAATAAACCCCTTAAAAAACATTAAGCTCCCCTAAAAAATAACTTAAAACCCCTTTAAAGTCCCTAACCTCCCCTTACAAACCCTGATAACTCCTTAAAAAAAAAAATCTTAAAATGCCTAAAGCCCCCCAAAACTTTAAACCCTCCCTTAACTCCCCCTTAATGCCCCACAAACCCTTTAAAAATCCTAAAACACCTTAAAAAACCCCTTTATAACCCTCTTAAAATCCTTTAAATTTCCTTAAAAATGCCTTTAAAACCCCTAAAATCCAGGGGAAAACTCCTCTTTCTGCCCCCCAAAGTCCCTCAATCTCTGTGAGGCAGTAGGAAAACACAATATTCTAGAAAACCAAAAAGCACATATATTTATTCAAAACCCCACAAAAATCCCCATAAATCCATGAAAAAAAGGGGGGAAAAAACCATCAATTTTTTAATTTTTCTTTTTAAATTTCCCCCTTTTTTTTCTCTCCCAAACCTGACACGACCTTTGATTCTTTGCAATAAATATACAAAAATAGAATAAATTAGGTTAAAAAATACAAGGCAACACTGGCAGATCAGCGTTAAAAAGGGAACAAAATCACCCAAAAAACCCAGTGGGAAAGGAATAAATAGGGAGGAAAAAAAGTAAAAATAAATCAGTTTTGGGACTGAGCCCTTCTTTTCTTGAAATGTGGGGGGGAAAGAAGAAGAAAAATCCCTCCCCCAGCTCCAAACGAGCTTGAAATTCCATTTTTTTTAGAGGGGAGGGAAGTGGCAGCACCCGTTTCATCCCCAGGCGTGGGGACAGAATCGATAACAGTACAAAAAAACCCTCAATAATTACAGAGACAATAAATAAACCCCTCAGGGAGGAGGGGGGGTCTTCACGTGGCATTCTGGGGGTGGGGGTCAGCCCAGGGCCCCCCCGGCCGCCGCCTGCTCCTGCAGCCCCAGCAGGCTGTAGGCGATGCGCTTCTGGTGGCCCGGCAGGCGCACCCCGATCCGCTTGATGTCCCTGGGAAAACGGGAAAGAGGGAGTTGGGATCAGCGGGAACGGGGCTGGGAGGGGCTGGAGACACAGCCCGGGTTTGGGGGGTCCCAGGAGCAGCGTCCTGGGGGTGGGGAGGGATGGGAGGGTGGACGTGGCTCATCCCAAGGGATGGAGGGATGGATGGATGGATGATGGATGGATGATGGATGGATGATGGATGGATGAGGGATGATGGATGATGGATGGATGATGGATGGATGATGGATGGATGATGGATGGATGATGGATGGATGATGGATGGATGATGGATGGATGGATGATGGATGGATGGATGGATGATGGATGGATGGATGATGGATGGATGATGGATGGATGGATGATGGATGATGGATGATGGATGGATGATGGATGGATGATGGATGGATGATGGATGGAATCCATGGATGGAATCCATGGATGGATGGATGATGGATGATGGATGGATGGACATGACTCATCCCAAGGGATGGATGGATGGACACAGCTCATTCTGGGGGATGGACAGACTGACACAGCTCATCCCAAGGGATGGATGGACACAGCTCATCCCAGCCTCTCCAGCCAAGGAACATCTAATTTTATCCCATCCCTCGGGCCACCAAGGCCATGGAAGTGGTTTCCGTTCCCAGCACATCCCAGTCCCGCGGGAGCTGGAGGGGCCGGGCTGGGAATAACCCAGGGGACAGCACAGGGACAGGGACTCACTCGCCGGTCATCTGCAGGACCTTCTCGATGGTGCTGTAGCCCGAGGCCATGAAGGTCTCGGTGTACTGGGGCATCCGGATGGACTCCAGCCACTCCGGGACCGAGCGGAACGGGACGCCCTCGGAGCCGCTGGTGCTGGGCAGCCGGATGGACACCCTGCAGAGACGGATGGAAAAACGGTGTAAAAATAGAAACAGGCAAAAAAAAAAACAGTGAAAAGCAGAATCTGGGGAAACGATGTGGAAACAGAAGGGTGAAAAGATGATGCAGAAATCAAACTTCGCAAAAAACGATGCGGGAATGGAGGGATGTAAAAAAATAACGTGCAAATGGAAGGTGCAAAAAATGATGGAGAAAGGTGAGGGCAGAAAAATATTGGAGAAATGAAACAATGCGAAAAATGGTGCAGGAATGGAAGGGTGGCAAATAGAGAGGCAAAAATGGAAATATGGAAAAATAACAGGGTTAAAAAGATGTGAAAAATAATGTGAAAATGGAGGGATGGAAAAACAGTGCAGAAATGGGAAGATGCCAAAAAATGAATGCAAAAATGAGAAGATGAAACGAAGATGCAGCAAAATGAAACAATGCAAAAGGTGGGAATGTGAAAATGAGGAAACACCAAAAAATGATGAAGGAATGGAGATGCCAAAAGCAAGGTGAGAGTGCAGAGATGGAAAACCCAACCCAAACCAGCACCACGAGAGTGCAAAAAATGACTCAGAAAATGCGAAGATGGAAACAAAACGATGCAAAAACCGATAGAAGATGCAAAAATGTGCAAGAATCGGAGAACCCCAGACTGGTTTGGTTGGAAGGAACCTTAAAGCCCACCCCATTCCACCCCTGCCACGGCAGGGACACCTCCCATTATCCCAGGGTGCTCCAAGCCCCAATGTCCAGCCTGGCCCTGGGCACTTCCAGGGATCCAGGGGCAGCCCCAGCTGCTGTGGACAACTTCCCCCCTCCCTCTTCTCGCCCCCCACCCCATCCTGGTGCTCCCCACACTCACCGGGGGTCGAAATCTGCCAGTGCCTTGAGGGACTCGGGGGCGCGGATGAGTTTGTCGAGGATGCTGACGATGTCGGTGAACTTGGGGCGCCGGCTGCGCTCCTGCTGCCAGCACTGCATCATCAGCTGGTAGATGGCCGAGGGACAGTCCAGCGGCGCCGGGAGGCGGAAACCCTCGTTGATGGCCTTCATCACCTGTGAGGATGAGGAGGAGGATGATCAGGGATGGTCCCCCAGAAAAGGTGTTCATTAACAGAATCCCGGGATGGTTTGGGTTGGAAGGACCTTAAAGCTCGTCTCATTCCAGCCCCTGCCCTAGGCAGGGACACCTCCCACTGTCCCAGGTTGATCCCAGCCTTGTCCCAGCTGGCCCTGGCTGTGCACCCACCTCGTGGTTGGAGAGCTCCCAGTAGGGCCGCTCGCCGTAGGACATCACCTCCCACATGACGATGCCGTAGCTCCAGACGTCACTGGCGGAGGTGAACTTGCGGTAGGAGATGGCTTCGGGTGCTGTCCATCGGATTGGGATCTTCCCGCCCTACAGCAACTCTGGGGTCAACCCTGCGCCCCCAAAAAGCCACCTCACCGTGTTCCACCACCCCAACACCGTGATGGACAGTCACCCACCGTGTTCCACCACCCCAACACCGTGATGGACAGTCACCCACTGTAATCAACCACCCCAACACCGTGATGGACAATCACCCACCGTGTTCAACCCTCAAACACCGTGATGGACAGTCACCCACCGTGTTCAACCCCCCCAACAGAACCAAGCACCCCCTGGCCGTGGCCAGCCCCTCCCTGGCCGCAGTGACACTCACACTGGTGGTGTAGGTGGCCTCAGGGTCATCCTCCAGCACCCTCGAGAGCCCGAAATCAGACACTTTGCACACCAGGTTGCTGTTCACCAGGATGTTCCTGGCGGCCAGGTCGCGATGGACGTAGTTCATGTTTGCCAGGTACTTCATGCCAGCGGCGATGCCCCTCAGCATCCCCACCAGCTGGATGACGCCAAATTCACCCTCTTTTTCCTGGGAAAAGGGGAGAATCCAGCCTGGAATCCACCTGTTGTCCCACCTCCCGTGGTGGGTGTTGGAGGTTCCTTCACCCTGTGGTTGTTGCCACC